AAAGGGGAGATTGGCAGGAGTGAAGAGTTCAAAGAGGGAGATTGGCAGGAGTGAAAAGTTCAAAGGGGGAGATTGGCTGGAGTGAAGAGTTCAAAGGGGGAGATTGGCAGGAGTGAAGAGTTCAAAGAGGGAGATTGGCAGGAGTGAAGAGTTCAAAGGGGGAGATTGGCTGGAGTGAAGAGTTCAAAAGGGGGAGATTGGCTGGAGTGGATAGTTTGGAAGGGAGAGATTGGCAGGAGTGAAGAGTTCAAAAGGGGGAGATTGGCTGGAGTGGATAGTTTGGAAGGGAGAGATTGGCAGGAGTGAAGAGTTCAAAAGGTGAGATTGACAGGAGTGAAGAGTTCAAAGGGGAAGATTGGCAGGAGTGAAGAGTTCAAAAGGTGAGATTGACAGGAGTGAAGAGTTCAAAAGAGGGAGATTGACAGGAGTGAAGAGTTCAAAGGGGGAGATAGGCAGGAGTGAAGAGTTCAAAAGGTGAGATTGACAGGAGTAAAGAGTTCAAAAGGTGAGATTGACAGGAGTGAAGAGTTCAAAGGGGGAGATTGGCTGGAGTGAAGAGTTCAAAGGGGGAGATTGGCTGGAGTGGATAGTTTGGAAGGGAGAGTTTATTAAGGGGAGATGGGCAGAGAGAATTTGGTGAGTGTCATTAGCTCAATTAGTCATGACCATTACTAATTTTCAGTAAACTCATGTTTTAAGGAAGGAAATGTTCTACTGTGAATTATGGATGATAAAAATAAATATAATGACTGATATACCTACACACTCACATCTAAATTATACAAATAACAATGCCATCTACACCCAACACAATCAATGGGCAATTATTCAATCCATTAATTGACATCTAAATCTGAACCAAACTACAACCACTAAAACAAACAAACACAACACTTGAAATCATCAGAGTTTACAAAGAGATAAAGTTAGTTAAGAGAAGATGAGGCTGGGCCATACATCTCCACTGGTGAAGCCGTACATAGTGCATGATATGAGAGGCCATCAGGTAATATGTCCATTACCTATTACACGTCATTAGGGAGTGAACAGTGCATCTATACATTTCATGCATTTATTACCTGATTCCAATTAAAAATTATAATTAATCAATAACCTCATTTGCAGTAAGAATAAAGAAAACAAAGGAAATTTGAGGCATTTTTTATAGGAGTCTTCTGTGGCAGTGCATCAGAGAAGGTAGATATTTAACCTACCAAAATTAAAGACAACGTCATTAGTAACTAGTTACATCAAATCCACTAGTGTCAAGAATTTATTTTAGAATAATTTTGTTACCATCTGGCAATGCCTGGAAGCAAGAGCTGCAACATAAAGCAACAGGATTCAGTATCAGCTATTGGCTTGGAGTGACTCGAGTGGTTCTTCCACCTCAAACAACTGACATGCTTGTACGACTCAAGTCGTTCTTCCACCTCAAACNACTGACTTGCTTGTATGACTCAAGTGGTTCTTCCACCCCAAACAACTGACTTGCTTGTATGACTCAAGTGGTTCTTCCACCCCAAACAACTGACATGCTTGTATGACTCAAGTCGTTCTTCCACCCCAAACAACTGACTTGCTTGTAGAACTCAAGGGGCTCTTTACTGTCATCAAACATCACAATTGACTGTAGACCCTGAAGAAACTAGAGTAACCATTTGTTTGAGGAGCCCCTGGACCCTAAGACCTTTGAGGAGCACCTGGACCCTAGACCTTTGAGGAGCCCCTGGACCCTAAACCTTTGAATAGCCCTTAGACCCAATACCCTTGAGCAGTTGGATGAGCCAATGAATAAGAATCAAGTATGTAATACAATTAGTATTTAAAATATGATATCGTCATGAATATAATGTAGAGTCTGAATTAAGGACAGTTGTCCTGGGATAAATTATCTGTGCTCAAAGGGAAAGATAATGAAGTGGATAAAGCATTAAATTTGGCCTTACATCAACAATGTTGATGCAGAAGCAGTAAGATGCTTATGATAAACTTCTCAACATAATTTTTGGAGCATATAAACTTTGGTAAAATGTGAGAATAAGTCTAAGCAGTTCAGACTAAATTAGTCAAAAAAGTAAGTGGACAGAACCTGATGCAGCAGCCTCAAGTTTCATTATTATGAGTCTTGTAGAATTGCATAGGTACAACTGTACAGTGTATATACACTTCTTTCTATTATAAAATCAGGCAGGCTGAGAAGAGTTAAAAAACACGCCAGATAAGGGTTAAAAAACACAGATTTGACTCACCTGGGCAACCCCCTCCTCCCTCACTGTCATGTACAGCTCCCACAGCCGACGGGTGAAGTCATCCACCTTGATGGTGCTGACAATTATACCATAAAATCAACCTTTTCATACTGACTTTTTGTTTCAATAAACATTTTTCAATGCAAAATGGAATGGATAGTAAACTAATCCAAACTTTAAATACTAAACCTTGCCATTCTAGAAAAAAATTTGAATTCATGTAGCTTAAAAAATTATACATATCCTTGCAATAGTATTAAGGTGCAGACAATCCCTCAATAAATAACACACTGATGTATAGACTCAATCAGAATTGAAATAGTGTGGGAAATCTTGGAGCAAATAACCTATTTTCTCTAACAAAATTTAGATGCATGCTTGACTTTACAATAGGTGCTGCTTAGGAATCTGGGATCACTTAGTTGCTCTGTGTCAACTTCAGCTCGGTTTGAAGGGCAGCTATTAAGCTTAGTATTACTTGGCTTGACCAACTCTTCTCATACTCTCAGGCAACTATAAAGCTGGAAAGAAATTCTGACAAGATGCTGATTTGATTGGATGGCCAAGCTGGCCCAGAATGACTGAGCTGAGTGTAGTGACCATGGGTTGAAGCTTAGGCTGTAACTTCAATTTAACTCAAAAATTTTATGGTTCAATGGATAAAATAATCACATGAAAATGTTGACTAACATGAAGTGGATACAAACACTTGACTCACTTGGCAAGGGACCTCTGCAGAAAGTCATGTGAGTGAGCCACTCTGTGCATGAGTGTATTGATGAGTGGCTGCAGCTTGTAGACTTTCTCAAACTCACGCCGGGGGAAAGGAGTCGGCAGCAGGAAGAACGGCGCCATGGAGAGGGTGTCCGTTGAGAAGCTGTCTTTGTAGCGCATGCCAGCTCCTGAATAACAAGTGGCAGAAATATTCAATAGGAGTATTTTTCCATAGATAACATGTGAAGAAAGTTGGGGATGATATTTAAAGATGAGTCACACTACATGGGTAATATTTCACACTAGGTATGTTAGTACCGTAAAATGGGGTTACTTTGACCGGAGGGGTAACTTTGACCACTTTTCGTTTTTTTAACAAAAATCCCTAAAACTCAAAAACAATTCGACATAGAAAAATTTTGTCAATGGCCATCAAAGGCCTAATACTGAGGCTACGTAACACAATAGAAAGATTTAAAAAGTTTGCATATCTAATAGGTTAAAAATTTAAAAATGTGACCCATGAAAAAGAGCTATTATTTAAAGCCTGTCGGAGTACCCCCTCCAATTTTTTTATTTTTTGGTAAAATAACTCCAGGTTTTGATGCATTGTAGTAGAACTTTTCTAGTTACATATGTAAAAGACAAATTTTAGAAAAGTGTCATAGTTTTCAAATGGGGGGTGCTGCCCCTCAATGTGGTAACTTTGACCACCTAATGGCAGCCGTGAGGGGGTAACATTGACCGGCTTGGAAATCAAGTTAAATTACCATAGGTACCTATTTAACATATTTTATGTTTGATACACCTATTAATGTTTTTTCTTCATGTTTCAGACTCTACAGAGTCTTATATATGGTAATTTTAACTTAATTTCCAAACTGGTCAATGTTACCCCATCACGGCTGCCATTAGATGGTCACAAAAAACTATGAGAGGCAGGAGCCAGCAATTTATGGTGAGTAAAGCTAGAGTATAGACCTGTATTTTGCATGTTTCAATTTAAGTTTAACTTATCTAATAAAAAAATGGCATCATTTTGAATAAAAAGTGGTCAAAGTTACTCCAGTTTACGGTACATACTTGTTCATATAAGTACTACTTGTAATTTATAAAAATACTGACTAGTTCCTTTATAGCAGAAGTCCAGGGACAAGAAAATATTGGTGATATTTCCAAAATTGTCAACTATGACAGATCATTAAGATACATTTATAGATGCAAAAAATTATTAATAATAAATTATAAAATTATATAAATACTGAAAATTATAAAAAATTATAATTATAAAAAGTTAAGTTTGTAAAAAATCTTAAATATAGAAAAGATATATTGCAACCAATTTGGTACATTCAATTTTTATGTACAAACAATAAAATAAATGCTTCACATAAAATACCTATTAGACTTGCCACAACAGAACAAAAGTATATATATACACTACCATACAAGGCTGTAGTTCAGTGTGGAATACACAAAGCATATTGTAAACAATCACAGTCTGGAGAGGATGACATCACATCCAATCACACTATTGAGATGGACATGCATCCATCTAAAAATGAATGACAAATTTTATGCACTATCCTAGACTTCCACACTACCACAGTTTATATCAAAGTTTGTACTTGTAGATAGCAGCAACTGACCATGTAGTAAAGCAAAATCTTTGGCATCTGCAGCAAGCTGTTGCAGCAGAAGCTCAGAAAGAGGGAGGGGGATGCTGCTGTAGGGGATCTTGCTTGCAGTCTCGGCAGGTTTGCAGGTATTTTCACAGCCTTCCTGGTTACAGCACCTGGTCTCTTGCAGCTCTTTTGGTGAACTCATTGTATCAACTTTGTCTTGGATGCAAACTACACAGTGTTTTTGCAAAAAATGTATAAAACACTAATAATCAAAACTTTTCTTTACTTTATTTTGCTAGGATCAAAACAGATGCTACACTTGAATTTCAGTTACAAAAAAATGAGAATTTGTTTCCCTTTATGGAAAAATTGGGAACATAATTTGAAAACATTTATAATATATAATAATTCACTTTCCTCCAGAACTTGTGTAACAAAATCAAGCCATTCTAGATTTTTCAAATTCAAGTAGATCACCAGAGGTGACACAAAAGTCAGGGTGGGATGTGACAGCTGTTAACCCATTAGCAACCAGCTACCTTCCAACTAGGTATATATATAGTCAGATGGGGTAAGACAGGACCAAAGTCACTAACAAGCCTGTAGCATCTATACCATGAATAACTAAGAAACTCTAAACCTATCACAATGTGTAGTTATGCAATGGGCTTCTAAGCTACAACTCAGACGTTTTGCATCTAACATAGTTTTCTGTACAGATTAAAAAAATGAGCTGGTCTGCTTGTGAGCTTGTTGCAGGTGGTAGAAGAAATGGCTATTCAATGTAACAATTGATACTCCAATAACTCCAATGTAATGCAAATAATGAAGAAGTCTACAACCTTCTTTAGAGCAAAATCTAGATTTTACTTGAAAGAAGGTTGTAGGACAATCTTTATTTTGCGTCTGGCACCTTAGGAATAGCATATGGAATTTTTTTGACAATGCTGTAGCAGTTTGCCTATTGTTATGCGGGTGTGATGAACTTGTCATCAGCTTGTATTTGTCTATTGCAGCTACACAGTTTATGGGGAATTAAAGTTGGTGTTTTCTAAGTTTTATTAAACAAAGTTAAAAGTTACATAGTTTATTACATGGGATCAGCAGCTTATGAGAGACGTCAAGGATTGTGCCAAATGAGTGGTTAAGAAATTGCAAATTGTGGGGACAAGAAGTAGTAAAGAATTAGCGAATAAAGAGGAACATGAATAGTTCAGAATTAGCGAATAAGCGAAATTGAAAAATAAGCGAAATTGATGAACTTAATGAGGTCATAATAATAACTTTGATTCGTGTATTATATTTAGGGTCAGAGCAAAGGTCTCGAGTCTTGACCTTGACCCAAGGTCAATCAAGACCTCATCTATCTTCTATGTCAGCAGTAAGTTTTGTTTACATTAGGAAGTTAGAAGTACAATTAAAATTTGCAAGGCGCAGTTGCGGTAGGTTGTGTAAATATCTAAGCTGGTCATGTCATGTCTCGGACAAATTTACGGCCTGACACGCGGCTGGTCTCGTGGCCAATCTCCAAATTCAGTGACCAAGGAATATCTCAATGAACGCAGCTCGATGAAACTTGGTACACGTATTAAGCAGGACGTAATGCTGATGTTTAGATCGTGAAAATTTTTAGATTTCGCCTTCATTCGTGAGTTATAGAACAATTCGTGCCGAAATTTGCAGTGACCAAGAAATTTCTTTTAAACTACTTGTCCGACACTTTACGTACGTGGAGGAAACATATTTGTTGAATATTCATTCCTACACTATTTATGAAAGTTAATTAGATCGTTGTGATGAGTAATACTCTACAATACGGTAATACCAGATCGTTGTGAAGAGTAATTGGGGCATGTGAGGTAAAACAAGGAATGTTAGATTAAATTTACGTAATAAAACTGATCAAGATACTAAAGTTAAATTTACTGATTTTCAACGCGTAGGTGTCAAGCATGGTTGAACTATATACTAGTTCAATTACATATCGGACCAATTTATTCAAATATTTCCGTTACAATTTTACAACTAATGTTTTCACTACCTTCGTAAAGCAATTCGCCTTTATATTTTTCTAAAATTAAAAGTGATTTTAAACTTAATACAATGGATCTTTTTATTATCAATTCAATCAAGGGCTTTTTCAAGCGAATCGACACTTCTCCGGACCCGCTCCTGTTTGATTAAAGAAATTAAACACTTCTTTACCAAAACATTAAACAACATTCCTCACGCTACCGTGACTAAAAATTCAATTTAAAATATTTTTGAAAAATACTTTTGCAAAGGCTACCAAATAGTATTGCTCAAGCTCATTTGTCATTTCGTCTATTACTCATAATGCTAGAAGTCTATACTCTACTGTGTCGATTAAACTGGAGGGAATTTTCGTGAAGTGGTTTAATATCCCGTTCTGTGCGTGACAGTGTGTGGTTTAATAAAAAGTAAATACGTAATGCTAGTCTTGAACTGATTCGATTTGTATTATTTACAGTTTGTTGGTTGTTAATTAATAATTCTATTCTTTTTGACACAGTGGACCACGACATACAATGAGCCTATGACTCTCTAGTCTCTGAGGATATATATTCCAAGATTTTCTTCAGCAATCTTCTAAAGCTAAATTTCGTGTTCAAGTTTGCATCATTCCACAAACTACGAAAGTACGAAGTTACGAACTACGAAGAGTGAAGACTTAATTGAGTATATAACACGTAATGTAAGTAATGTTTGGAAATTTCATGCAGCTAACAAATAATAATTGTATTTCTATAAATTTATGATGCAATACAGCTTAATTCTGCAGTGCAGCCAGAGCCAGGCCCAGACGCCTAGTGCTGACTGCTGAGTGGCGTCGGCCGTCGGCGTGTAGTGCTGTAGGCCGGGCATAGGCTCACTAGGCTGATCCGCTGAACGCTGATGATGGCATGAAGCTGAAATGGTGTATAAGGATTAAAAGATAACCTGTGTTACCTGTTTTTATATAGAATTTTTAAAATTTTAATTTCAATGTGATTTGATTAATGTAATTGCGCAGTTTAGTGAATTACATTGAAATTAAATTTCAAATCAACTTTGTTTCAAATTTTTAAACTTTTTTGATTTCAACCAATTTTTCAGATACAGGTAGGGCTAGATGTAGAAATGTAATAAATTTACTAACATAATGTCATAAGTGTTAAACAAACTAATTGGTAATCCTGTTAATTTAATGATTTAATATAATTAAATCAATTAAAATGTAATAATAATAATTATAATTATATTTTATTAATAA